CGGACAATACCATGATAAAAGCTTTTGTGCTACTCAATAAAAATTATGAAAAAAAGGTTCATATTTAGGGGGCTCCAGATATGGGTCAGGGCTCCGTTCCACAAAGCCATCTTAGCCCTAAGGTGATCGTAACTCCCATACTTTAATAATGGCTTACGATAGTCGTAACGTTAAGAACGCTTTGTGGAACGGTGCCCTGAACAGGAAACCAGTACTACTCAACTGTTATTTTGTCCTCAGCAGTAAACAGCCCCACCCTCACCACCGATTAGGACATAACAATTATAACCTCCAGTGGGGAGTCAGTGAGTGAGTATGGTTTTAGGCCGCTTTCTAAGCAATATTCCTACCTTCGGTGTGACGAGCGAATGCTAAAACCACTAGGGTACCAGTGCGGATATTGATGATGCAATGTTAAACATTATTCCGTAACTCACACACTGATAGGCATGTCTATTGTAAATACAGTGGTCCCTCGCTACAACGCTACCAATGGGGTCCAAATACTTGGTGGGCGTTATAGACGATGAGCCGTTTAACCGAGGCCGAGGCGGGGGAGCGCGCTCGGCAAATCTCAAATCATCAATGTGTTTATCTCACGTCACGTCAAAATAGTATATATTTTTATGGACCTAGATCTACCTGTAATATCATTCATTTATTAAATGTGTCACATTTCACAATGTCTGAAATCATATTCCATTTCAATTTATCATTTTTTATCGATAAATTAAAAAATTATTCACTATTTCCCGCGATGTTATTGAAAATAAAATTCTCGGACACACATTTCGACAACGGGTCCACATCAAAGAGCAAAATAAAGACGTTTTAAACAAATCTTTAAATATATTATACAAAGTGATAAATAAAATCAACAAAAATATATCTTAAAGTAATCAAACTTACATCTAAGTTATTATTTCCATCGTTTCGTGCGATCGCGTGTAATGTAAGTCAAATGACATCTCGGCTTTCGTCGCCTTGAATTCTCGGCTCGGACACAACGTTAAATGCAAAAATATATGCATGAAAAATCTTTGTCACAGCTCGTAACCTAGCACGATACATTCGCAAAGTTCCATATTTTTAATATATATTATGATTTCCTGCTTAAAACGTTCAGAATAACACGATTTAACAAAATGTCTTTCGCCCTAATTCTGAAATTTATCAAACACGAGCTTGGTATCACAGCTATAATTTGATTGGCTGCCTGAGGTCACGTGCTCAAAATTGACCAATCATGAAACTTGTAGTAGATTTCGGCAAGAAAGCGTTATTAGAAACAAATTTTAATCCAATGAAATCGCTTGTTATAACTACGGAAAAAAACCAGGCAATGTTATGAAAGCGCGATTACGAAATGAATGACCGCCGTGTTGTGACAGCAACTACATTTGTGTGACAGTATCGCCTCAAATTGGATTGCCCACTAATTAAGAATATAAACTTCGCTTGTGGTTCTCTTTTATTGCATGCATGCGCTTCTAAGATCAAAGGATGTATAGTGTGAAAAGTTAACTAGTTGAACAATCGTATTTCCGGGACTTGCCGCGGATGTTTTCAAACAGATTATTAGAACTCCATTCAGTGATAAACGGTTGATTATGCAATGAGAAGCGTTATGTGCAAATGAACAACGAACAACAATACAATTATGTCTGTGTAAAACTCTCAGTAATAAAAGTGTACATAAATTTTGGGAGCCATGCGTTACCGTGCGTAGTAACCGAGGTAGCGCTTTATCGAAGAGCGCAATAGCGAGGGATCACTGTACCACAGTATGTCTTTACATACTGAGTGAGTGAGTTAGTAAGTTTCGTCCAACACTGCTTTTAACAGTATTTCACTTTCATCACAGAATGACAGCTTAATGTGGAGGGTTTAAGGTCAAGTTATGGGTCTTTGATGTTTACCATCTTGGTGAAACCCACAAGCATGGACATGGTGCTGATAAACCTAGAAAGTTAATCAGCCTGAACTGGGATTCAAACCACGATGATAGCTTTCAGGAACACCCAAGGGACACTACTCTGCAGAGGGAACTGCAGCACCACAGACCACTGGGCCACTTGTGGACTTATCTCAAGGTTAGTCATGGCCACTAGTCCAAGACCAGCGAAACTGTAAAGGGACAAGTCGTTTCTACAAAACAAATGTAATTGTTTTACAAAAAATGTGTGGAAAATGAGGAATGGACTATCTGGATATGACCAAGTGTCTCCCCTGGTTCTTATTAATCTAGTGATAAAGCTTGTGACATTGTACCACAAGGTATGAAACATGTTGTCAATGAAACATTGTCTATGATATCTGACCTGGGAGATACGTCTGATATACACCAGTGCTGGCCACAATATCTAGTGTAAAGTAAGTGTGGCCAAGTGTAAAATAACTGTGGTGACTAGGTGTAAATTGACACCTCTTGTCTGATGTTCAGGTTGAACGGGTTTGTTATCAAGGACGAACAACTTGAGTTTATCTGTAGGGAAACTATTTCAAGTGCAACAACCTTAAGAGTTGTTTATCAAGTGACCAAGTTTATCATCAAGGTGTTTATCTTTATCTGAACATATCAACTGTTCACTGAGTGAGTGATTTGCAGGTCATGCTACAGTCAGCAAATATATATACACAACTCAAAAGAAGTAAATAATACCCAATTCATTCATATTTACAGTACACCTACACTCAGAACATGTGAAGTAAGACATAGAAAGCAATATTCTAAACATATTCAGAATTAGCCAAGTATGTCAATCAGCAATAATCTATGTCCACATATATTCCGGATATGACAAATATGACAACAATGTTCCACATATATTCAGGATACGATAAATATGACACAGCAGTATTCCACATATATTCAGGATATGACAATATGACCTAGTTAGGTCTATTCCACATATATTCAGAGTATGACAATATGACCTAGTTAGGTCTGTTCCACATATATTCAGAGTATACCGTGTGCGACATTACCTATGTGTGAGCATACCAGTAGAGACACTAAAGCTGAAAGTCTCTGTCCAACAACCAGCCATTTTCTTTCACCAATGTGAGCACCACATCTCCACATATACAGGTGAATATTCCACCAGCAGTGACTCTGGTATAAGATGTCAGATGTAAGAATATCCTTCACTCCAGGGGTACTCATAAAGTACAGGCTACACATACCTCTCAGGTATTTCCAGTAGCTTATTGCCAGTGTGAATCTTTGATACAAGCACATGCGATAAACATGGTATAGCGTTGACATAGTGTAACGTCAGTGTGGACAGAGAATAACATCAGTGTGGGCAGTGTGTGAACAGAGTGTAACGTCAGTGTGGACAGAGTGTAACATCAGTGTGGGCAGTGTGTGAACAGAGTGTAACATCAGTGTGGACAGAGTGTAACATGAGTGTGGGCATTGTGTGGACAGAGTGTAACATGAGTGTGGGCAGAGTGTAACATTAGTGTGGGCAGTGTGTGGACAGAGTGTAACATCAGTGTGGACAGAGTGTAACATGAGTGTGGACAGAGTGTAACATCAGTGTGGACAGGGCTTAACATCAGTGTGGACAGAGTGTAACGTCAGTGTGGACAGGGCTTAACATCAGTGTGGACAGTTTGTGGACAGAGTGTAACGTCAGTGTGGAAAGTGTGTGGACAGAGCGTACTGTTAGAGTGTACCGTCAGTGTGGACAGAGTGTAACATCAGTGACAGGGTGTGGACAGAGTGTAACATCAGTGAGAACAGAGTGTAACATCAACGAGAACAGAGTGTAACGTCAGTGAGAACAGAGCGTAACATCAGTGAGAACAGAGGGTAACATCAGTGTGAACAGAGTGTAACATCAGTGACAGTGTGTGGACAGAGTGTAACATCAGTGAGAACAGAGTGTAACATTTGTGAGAACAGAGCGTAACGTCAGTGAGAAGAGAGTGTAACATCAGTGAGAACAGAGTGTAACATCAGTGAGAACAGAGTGTAATATCAGTGAGAACAGAGTGTAACGTCAGTGAGAACAGAGTGTAACATCAGTGAGAACAGAGTGTAACGTCAGTGAGAACAGAGTGTAACGTCAGTGAGTGTGAACTGGGTGTGAACTGAGATTGGTGTCAGTGTGACCTGAGTGTGAACTGAGCGTGAACTGAGATTGGTGTTAGTTTGAATTGGGTGTGAACTGAGTGTGAACTGAGTGTGAACTGAGATTGGTGTCAGTGTGAACTGAGTGTGAACTGAGATTGGTGTCAGTGTGAATTGGGTGTGAACTGAGATTGGTGTCAGTGTGAATTGGGTGTGAACTGAGATTGGTGTCAGTGTGAATTGGGTGTGAATTGGGTGTGAACTGAGTGTGAACTGGGTGTGAAATGAGATTGGTGTCAGTGTGACCTAAGTGTGAACTGGGTGTGAAGTGAGATTGGTCTCAGTGTGAACTGAGATTGGTGTCAGTGTGAACTGGGTGTGAACTGAGATTGGTGTCAGTGTGAACTGGGTGTGAACTGAGATTGGTGTCAGTGTGACCTAAGTGTGAACTGGGTGTGAACTGAGATTTGTGTCAGTGTGACCTGAGTGTGAACTGAGCGTGAACTGAGATTGGTGTCAGTGTGACCTGAGTGTGAACGGGTGTGAAGTGAGTGTCAGTGTGAATGGGTGTGAACTAGTTGTGAACTGAGTGTGAACTAGGTGTGGCCTGAGTGTGAATGGGTGTGAAGTGAGTGTCAGTGTGAATGGGTGTGAATTAGGTTTGAACTGAGTGTGAACTTAGTGTGAACTAGGTGTGGCCTGAGTGTGAATGGGTGTGAAGTGAGTGTCAGTGTGAATGGGTGTGAAGTGAGTGTCAGTGTGAATGGGTGTGAACTAGGTGTGGCCTGAGTGTGAACGGGTGTGAAGTGAGTGTCAGTGTGAATGGGTGTGAACTTGGTGTGAACTTGGTGCAACCCAAGTGCAGCGTAGTGCAGGTATAGCAAGAGTGACATGAGGCGAGATGATGAAACAGGCTTACCTTTCTCCATATACCGTACGAGTCCATCCACTTCAAGATAAAAAGAAAGGGGCAAAATCAATTGATGAACATAAATGGAAAACAAACATTATGCCGGTGAAACAAACATGTGCATTAATTGTTAAAAAGCTGAAATCATGTGTGTAATGAAGTTAGCCAAAATAAAACAAACAGGACATGCAAAAGCAAAAAGAGAACTCTGAAAGATGAATGTATGTGCTCTTGTTTAACATCTGAGAATCTAGGAGTTGATTCACATGCTCTTGTTTAACATCTGAGAATCTAGGAGTTGATTTACATGCTCTCATTTCACAGGACAGAATCTAGGAGTTGATTAACATGCTCTCATTTCACAGGACAGAATCTAGGAGTTGATTTACATGCTCTCATTTCACAGGACAGAATCTAGGAGTTGATTTACATGCTCTCATTTCACAGGACAGAATCTAGGAGTTGATTTACATGCTCTCATTTCACAGGACAGAATCTAGGAGTTGATTTACATGCTCTCATTTCAAGGGGCAGAATCTAGGAGTTGATTAACATGCTCTCATTTCAGAGGACAGAATCTAGGAGTAGATTTACATGTTCTCATTTCACAGGACAGAATCTCAGAGTTGATTTACATGCTCTCATTTCACAGGACAGAATCCAGGAGTTGATTTACATGCTCTCATTACACAGGACATAATCCAGGAGTTGATTTACATGCTCTCATTTCACAGTACATAATCCAGGAGTAGATTTACATGCTCTCATTTCACAGGACATAATCCAGGAGTTGATCTACATGCTCTCATTTCACAGGACATAATCCAGGAGTTGATTTACATGCTCTCATTTCACAGGACATAATCCAGGAGTTGATTTACATGCTCTCATTACACAGGACATAATCCAGGAGTTGATTTACTTGCTCTCATTTCACAGGACATAATCCAGGAGTTGATTTACATGCTCTCATTTCACAGGACATAATCCAGGACTTGATTTACATGCTCTCATTACACAGGACAAAATCTAGGAGTTGATTTACATGCTCTCATTACACAGGACAGAATCTATGAGTAGATTTACATGCTCTCATTTCACAGGACAGAATCTAGGAGTAGATTTACATGCTCTCATTTCACAGGACATAATCCAGGAGTAGATCTACATGCTCTCATTTCGCAGGACATAATCCAGGAGTTGATTTACATGTTCTCATTTCACAGGACATAATCTGGGAGTTGATTTACATGCTCTCATTTCACAGGACATAATCCAGGAGTTGATTTACATGCTCTCATTTCACAGGACATAATCCAGGAGTTGATTTACATGCTCTTATTTCACAGGACATAATCCAGGAGTTGATTTACATGCTCTCATTTCACAGGACATAATCCAGGAGTTGATTTACATGCTCTCATTTCACAGGACATAATCCAGGAGTTGATTTACATGCTCTCATTTCACAGGACATAATCCAGGAGTTGATTTACATGCTCTAATTACACAGGACAGATTCTATGAGTAGATTTACATGCTCTCATTTCACAGGACAGAATCTAGGAGAAGACTTACATGCTCTCATTTCACAGGACATAATCTAGGAGTAGATTTACATGCTCTCATTTCACAGGACATAATCCAGGAGTTGATTTATATGCTCTCATTTCACAGGACATAATCCAGGAGTTGATTTACATGCTCTCATTTCAAAGGACATAATCCAGGAGTTGATTTACATGCTCTCATTTCACAGGACATAATCCAGGAGTTGATTTACATGCTCTCATTTCACAGGACAGAATCTCGGGAGTAGATTTACATGCTCTCATTTCACAGGACATAATCCAGGAGCAGATTTACATGCTCTCATTTCACAGGACAGAATCTCGGGAGTAGATTTACATGCTCTCATTTCACAGTTGGGAATCTTGGGAGTTCATTTACATGCTCTCATTTTCCACAACAGAATCTAAGAGTTGATTAACATTCTGTTGTCGCACAGGGAAGAATCTAGGAGCTGATTTACATTTCACATGATACATCCTATGAGGTGAACAATATATGTCCATGTTTGCCAGAGCAGAGCCTACAGGATGATTTAATATGCTTAGTTTCGCATGACAGATCTATAAGGTGAATGTATACGCTCTTGGTTCAACATGATGTGAGGAGAAATATGATCATGGTTTCTCATGGTGAATGTATAAGTTCAGTTTCACATGATATGATTCTGCCCAATACACCCTGCTTGTTATGAGAGTGGATTATTGAGGATTCGGAGGACACAATGCATCACTGAGCTGTCAACGATTGGTCAGTCTGGCCCAGATTTGATTATTGAGAGGACTATTGATGACTGCAGCCTAAAACAATGTAAACGTACCAACTCTCATTACAAGCAGAATTCTAAAGTGTTGTTTTGCTAAACTATTCAGAATAGTTTTTTTTAATTATTATTCGTTATCAATAATGCATAAACCATGACAGATCAAAGACTGGCAGCTTCGTAATCTCAACATAAGGTTGTATGGACCTTTAAATACATCCCATAACATCACACAATACTGTCAATGTCACATCAACCAACACAAAATTCTCCTCTTATAAGACACAAAATCTATATTGAAGCCAATCATTACCTAAGATGTGCAACATTTTTCTTTAACATCAAAAAGATTAACAACAGCAAATGTTTCCCCCTCTGTTCAATCAGGAGCCTAGTTGGCATGTTGAATCCATCAATACATTAATCCCCAGAAACATCTTCTTGCACTACGCAACATTTTCGTCTCTCAGGAGACACGCGAATCACTGGCATTGATTATTTTCCATTTTGTATGCCTATCACAGCTGGAGTGGCAGTACATGGCTCCAAGCTACTGTTCTTATATTAGATAGGAGACAGAAATTTAATTCCAACTTAACAAAATACTGAATAATAATGGCGCAATAACCATTAAACACGAAAATGTTCACACCTCTCTTGCATGGACACATATCAGAACACGTAATAACACTTTGTCACTTCCGACACCCAAAAAAACGAGCAATCTTGAACACGGTTGGCACCAGCCTGCGGCTGCAGCACCATACCCACGCTGCTCTCATCCCTGGCTGCCTTAATGAACTGATACAAGCCTCAAACGTAGAAGAATTCAACCAGATTCAAATATCTTTGAAGATGGAGCAGTGAAAATTTGTATTGGATTGTGCCAGTTGATGGTATAAACGAAAACATTTCTGTCCTTTCAGAAATCAGATTGTGTAAGAATTAAGAATTCAGATAATGCCAGATTTATTTATTTATATTTTTAATTAATTGATTTTTGTTGTCAGTTCAATGCTTAATGCCACACTGTATTCCACCAATATGATGTCATTCTGTAAATAATCAAGTCGGGACCAGACAATCCAAAGATTAATATTAGGAGCAACGATCTGTGCCACAGTTCACCAACCCTGACCACCCGATCCATTTGGTACCCTCTTACAATCATCCAAGGTTGCTTGGGACCCCACAGGGTACAATTATTTTGGTGAACAATCCTGGTCAGTCAATAGAAGGAAAATAATCTTTTAGAAACTTTCAGGTCTTCTTAAGGTTCTTCAAAATGATGTCATGTGAGGAGTGAGTGTTAGATTGTCTTGTTTGTCAGTCAGTTTAACCTCCTGAGTCTGAGCCTGAGACTACTGGCCCACCCATGACCCCTTCTGTGAACTGTGACAAATAACGTTTAGAGCTTTTAAGATAATGGTCTCCTTTAATAATTTGTTTGTTTGATTGTTGTTTACACTGCACTCAGCAATAATCCAGTCTGTAAATAATTGAGTCTTGACCAGACAATCCAGTGATATCATGAGCATCAACACACGCAACTGGGATGAAATGACATGCATCAACCAAGTCAAACCGCCTCTTACAACAAGCATAGTTGCCTTTTACAGCAAGCATGGGTTGCTAAAGACCTATTCTACGCCAGATCTTCACGGGTCTCCTTTAATTATTTCAGGGTTGTGGGATACGTGAACAAATTATATTTGGAAGTCTCATCTGAGATCACTGCTGCAAAAACAGATCATCATGGACAACAAGAAGGCACATCCAGGAAAGTTTGTAAAGATGGTCAGAACAAACAGTGAGTGAGTGAGTGAGTTGGGTTTAACGACGCTTTTAACAGTATTCCAGTTATATCGCGGCGTGTCAGCTTAATGTGGGAGGAAAGCCCGAAGTGATGCAGGTCTTAGACGTTTACTACTTCGGTGAAACCCACGAGCACGGGTATGGTGCTGACAAACCTAGAAACATAATCAGGGCGAACCAGGATTCGAACCAACAATCATAGGTTTCTGGCATGCCCAAGGGACGCAACTCTGCACAGCGAATCGCGGTGCCTTAGACGACTGGGCCACCCGTGCCCCCCCAGAACAAACAGCATAAACCAACAAATTGAGAAATCAATGTCAGAATTAGAAAATAACTGAACGTTTCCAATCCATTTTCTTTCCTATTAATATCGTTTACAAATGGCCTTATATGTGCTCTTTATAAAATTGGATGAAGGTCATGCTGACCTGGGACTGTCAACTTGTAAACCTTTACGTAGAGGGGCGCGGTACTACTGGTATAACAGTATACCACGATTTGAAATGCTAATAAATACATATCACAATTCGTTTGGAAAAAACCATATACTGCGTTTTTCAAAATCATGCATATTTTCATCTTGTTGGCAAAGTTTACACTGGTTACAAGTAGAATTCAAATTATGACATTCAGAAACAAGCAACTTGATTCATGTGATAGAAAAAACAAACAAATTCACAACCACCTGCATACAATGTGTCTTTTATTCAGGTTTACCCCAAATCACAGGAGAGTGAGTGAGTGAGTGAGTGAGTGAGTGAGTGGGTTGGGTTTAACACCGCTTTTAACAGTATTCCAGTTATATCGCGGCGTGTCAGCTAAATGTGGGAGGAAAGCCCAAATGATGCAGGTCTTAGACGTTTACTACTTCGGTGAAACCCATGAGCAC